CTTAACCCCAAATAAAAGAACCCAATAAAAAGAGTTGTTAAATAATAGTGAAGTCACGTTGTAATAACAATAACTCATCTCTCTCGAGTTTTATTTTTAGGCTTTGCCAAAAGCCACTGTGTCAAGTGTCCTACTTGGTCCTACTAGTGTTGCCGTCCAATATGGCGGACCATCTCGCACATGCCAAGCCCCCAGGAAGTGCGCCGGACTCAGATGAAAATATTCGTGGTGGCCAAACGGCGGTACTACACTTCCGCTTGGTTGCCAGGCCCGGAAACACTTTTTCACATTGACTTACATGGGGAAAGAGTGGTCTGTAAATCGTTGAACTACCCAGTATGAACACTTGTATAGCCCTTATTAAAAACATTCATTCCTCAAGTTGAAGAAATGTGCTAATAACGTTATTCTGAGAGTTATTTCCCTCTGCATTATGAACGCGCATCTAACCCACGGGACCGCACGCCCGGCACGTTCATGTTACGTGTTCAGCATGGTCCCGACCAATCAGAGCACACTGTGCTCACAGGGAGGGTGGGGGCTGGAGCTATTGGAGCTACAACGAGCCGTTAAAGGCAGAGAGTGAAATTCAGTGAATACACGTGGTTTACAGAGATGCTATATGAGAAACCAATGTGAGTTGCGTTTATCTTTACCCATGGATACACAATAAGAACGGACCCATATCGTCTTACTGCCAGCCCACGGAGCTGTAATAATGGATATATTGCACATGTTTGCTGTAATTCATTATTATACTACATGGGCTATATGATTACATCTTGTACCGTAAATGTTGTATTAAATAAAGTTAATATTACCGACGTTATTAACGTCCCTGTAGCTTCGTATTGCACTAAGAAGCTTATTGCACTGTATATATATATATATATATATACAGTGCAATAATTATTTCATGCTAAATGAAGCTCTGTTGGATATCACTAGATCCTGTTACAGCGTAATAGAAGTACATAACGATTGATGTGAACATTAGCATAATTACTAGCTAGCCGCTAGCTGCTAACTGCCGCCTAGTTAATATCAAATCCATCATAATAACAAATCATTACCATGCTGTCATGAACGTGCGGTTCTGTAACTTACGTGTACGCAAATTGACGTGCTTGATGTGAACGAGCATTTTGGTTAAAGTTGCGCATGCGCTATGAGCGCACATACGGGTACTTCTCAGGCATGCCGGGTAATCTGTGATGTTTCACTCTCTCAAAAGTTGGGCCATTTTATCATCATGCGCCAATGAGCAACTCTCATAGGAATGAATGAGGACCCGCCTCCCACGCTGTATCCAGTTCTTATTATACATTCATGGCACATGCGCACTGCAGATCGGGCAGAGCTGCAGATCGGGTAGTTACCATGGATGTATAGAGTGGCGAAGTTACGCCCATCTACTTCCGGTCCATGGGACCTTATTTCGGAAAAATAATGTATTGAAGTCAATGGAGAGAGAAAACATATCTTTCGATCCCGTTTTAATTGTGCCATGAATTACACATATGATGTTTGTCAATCTTAAAAAATTATTTCCATGTCAAAAAAGTCACAGTTTGTCGTAAAACTGTTGAAATATAAGACGATGAAAAATACGCAACTAGAAAGACTACAAATCCCAGAGTCGCGTAAGTGATGTCACAATTGTTTTCCTCCACTAAGAGATAGCTAACAGCACCGCGCGTTCTGGATTGTTATGATGGATTTGATAATAACGAATAATGAGGCGGCTGCGGCAGTTAGCAGATAGCAGCTAGCGGCTAGCTAGTGTAACGTCCGAGCCATTAGTAATTATGCTAATGTGCACATCAATCGTTATGTACTTTTATATTACGCTGATGTAACAGGATCTAGTGATGGTTTTGTTCAGCATTGCCAGCTTCACTGTTGAGCTTTATGTTGTGCCCAGCATTCTCCTGTGCTCTGAAATCAAAATGTGGATAAGCATAAAACAACACTAAAATAAACACTACAATTGTTAGAAATTAAAATCAATGTTGGTATGGCGTAATTTGAATTAAATACACTATTTAATTTAAATCAGTTTTATTCTGAAAAACCGGAAGTTCACTAACTATTAACTTAATACTTTTATTCTGACAATTATTCATTTCCGGTTAGCATTAGCATGTGGCGAAATGCTGCATTTTCAAACCGTGAATCAAAGGTGAAATGACATGTGATGTTGTACACTGAGCACACTGGGTTTAGCAATCATTTATTACCGCTGAATAACGTTTATTAGGGAATGTTTAAATAACCACAGACACCAGAATGATATAATTTAACAACAGAAAAAGGCAGAAATTGCATTGGACCCGCCCCCGACGACGCCGGCCAATAGGAGAAGACCTCCGATGACAACAGGAAGAGCAAGCCAAGGATTGACCTCTTTCTACCTGCTGACCTGGGCTGCTTCTCAGGTCGATTAAATGAAATCCTTGCTTCCCTCACTTGCGTCGTTTCCCTGCGTTTAGTCCCTCCCACCAGGGAAGCATGGAGGGACGCAAGGAAACCACGAGAAGCAGGGAAATGAGTTTTAAGAGCAATGGGACGTCCTTTCCTCCGGAGCGTCACGTGAAGCGACGTCCGTTTGTGATGACGCTGCACAGCTGTTCGTCTGGCAGCAGCCAGCTCTGTACCCGTTATTTCCACAAACACCCCCGCCTCTGTTAGTACACATTTACTGACATAAACATTAGTATCATCTGTTGTAGATCCAAATACATGAAATAAAATAAGAAGTCATTCTCAAAAAAGATAAACGCCATTCTTAAAATGTATAAACGAAAAAAGCGATCATGAAAATGTTTCCAATAAATGAATACAAAAATGTTTGACCACTTTGTTGTTTAGATATATCACATATTTGTAACTAAATGATACATGAATTGAAACAAAACACAGTATAAACTGAGGAGTGAGTCCCGTGAGGTTCATGTATTTTCTTCACTCCGCTGGGGTATTGCTCTCATGTCAAGAAGCATCAGATCAGTGCATGCACTGCCTCGTCCAATCAGTGAGCGATACACAGTAAGGGGGCGGGGTGAGTATCTGAGGATTTCATCGGAGGATGGTCTGGTGGTTCCTCGGTTATCGCTCCTCCATGATCGCTCCTCACTCCTCGATCCTCGGTCCTCCGGCAGAAATAAGAGCCATGGGACGGTACTCAAGATGGCGCAGGCAAATCAACTTCCGGTGAGACCGAGGACCGAGGAGCGAGGAAATGAAAATAGTCGACCTGAGAAGCAGCCCTGGACTGACCGGGCGGATGAGGAGAGCGCCTCCACTCGCACATTTCATTTTGTACTGTACACCACCGCATCTTTTGTGTAATTAAATGCTGTTAACTTTTATAAGCTTCCCTTGACTCTTTTCAGTCTCTCCTGCCTTCGGGGTTCTAGAATACACTAACACAATACAACTTGTTATTTGACACACACAAGGTTGTTCATTTGTGTGTATAATTATACAACACAGGCTATATATATATATATATATATACACAAGTATAATTAATACAACTGTTAATTTGATTAGAGCTTTGACACATATATCTTTATTTCTATATGTATAAGTGTGACGACTTCCTCGGGCGATATCATATGGTATAGCTAATTAATCTGGGTCAAAACGTGTTGTGCCACATGCAAAGGTTGTAAACTCTGGCTTATCCCTGCGTGGTATTATAGTAATAGCAAACAGCAATGTTCAACTCCTTTAATGGTATATTGCAAGTGCAATACACTCGCCTAGCCCCCTATAGTATCGCTCACTGATTGGACGATGCAGCGCATGCACTGATCTGATGCTTCTTGACATGAGAGCAGAGTGAAGAAAATACATGAACCGCACGGGAGTCACTCCTCAGTTTATACCGTGTTTTGTTTCAATTCATGTATCATTTAGTTACAAATATGTGATATATCTGAACAACAAAGTGGTCACAAATCATTTTATTCATTTTTTGGAAACATTTTCATGATTGCTTTTTTCGTTTTACATTTTCATTTATTGTCATTTCCATTCAGTCAGTCATTAAGTGCTACCCATGCTTCCCTGGTGTGAGGGACTAGTCGCAGGGAAACGACGCAAGTGAGGGACGCAAGGAATCCATTTAACCGAAGTGAGAAGGACCCCAGGGAAGCATGGAGAGACGCAAGGAAACCACGAGAAGCAGGGAAATTAGTTTTAAGAGCAATGGGACGTCCTTTCCTCCGGAGCATCACGTGAAGCGACGTCCGTTTGTGATGACGCTGCACAGCTGATCGTCTGACAGCAGCTCTGTTCCCGTTATTTCCACACACACCCCCGCCTCTGTTAGTACACATTTATTGACACAAACATTTGTATCATCAAGATAAATGCCATTCTTAAAATGTATAAACGAACATTAGTTGGATTAATATTGATTAGAGTGCACAATAGAAATAAAATAATTGAGAGAAGAAAAAGAGATATGTTATCTATCAAAACCCAGTTAGATTAACATTCATTGGATTGCACACTTTGTTTGTTTGTGTGGATATGTAGCACATTAACATTTTAATAGCACTTAATGACTGACTGAATGGAAATGACAATAAATGAAAATGTAAAACGAAAAAAGCAATCATGAAAATGTTTCAAAAAATGAATAAAATGATTTGTGACCACTTTGTTGTTCAGATATATCACATATTTGTAACTAAATGAAACATGAATTGAAACAAAACACGGTATAAACTGAGGAGTGACTCCCGTGAGGTTCATGTGTTTTCTTCACTCCGCTGGGAAACGGCTCTCATGTCAAGAAGCATCAGATCAGTGCATGCACTGCATCGTCCAATCAGTGAGCGATACACAGTAAGGGGGCGGGGCGAGTGTCTGAGGATTTCATCGAAGGATGGTCTGGTGGTTCCTCGATTATCGCTCCTCGCTCCTCCGGCAAAAATAAGGCCATTGGGACGCTACTCAAGATGGCGCAGACAAATCAACTTCCGGTGAGACCGAGACCGAGGAGCGAGGAAATGAAAAATAAGAGAAGTGAGAAAGGGCCAGTGACAGCCACAAGGAATATTTTCCTCAGAGTTCGGCGCACTTCTTAGGGGCTTGGCTGCAGGGGGCGGGCTAACCGTCTGTGCTGTAATTCCTCACAGCGAAGAAGACGCATGAGCAAAAACAATAACACATAACTAGCTGCTCTCGGAAAAACAACTACGAAATACCCCGTATTTAGCTCAAAATTCACATTAGAACACATATAAGCAGAAGGTGTCCGTGAGTGTTGTAAACATAACTCTTCATGGAGGTGAGCTCCGCGCCATGTTGTGTTCTTCACAGCAATAGCATGCCTTCGTGGTTGTGACGCGATACCTAGCTGTCCCGCTAGCTGCTCACTTCCCGCTTTGTGTTTCTGTTTAATGTCACTGCTCCCTGCCAACGCGCAGACATGGAGAGTTTGTACAAGCGCAAAATGTTCGCTTCCATGCGGAAAACCAAAGTGGACGCATCGAAGAAAAAGCAGATCGGCCTGCCTGCTTCGATCCTGGACGACAGTGACGAAGGCTCCTTCACATCCTCCTCCTCCGGATCCCAGTCCGACTTCCTGAGCTCCCCGGAGGAGGATAGCGAGCAGGAGGACCGGGGCCGAAGCGGCTCCGGGGCGACTTCCAGCGATGACAGCCGCTCCGTGACCCGCAGAAAGCGCTCCTTTCTGGGAGGGGACAACAGCTCCTCTTCTTCCAGCCCCGGAGAGGAGGACACAACTAATGATGAAGAGGGGGACACGAGCCAGCCGAAGAGGATGTCGCAGCCCAGGAAGCGGATCCGGCTGAAGCGACAGGAAGAGTCCGACTCGGACTGTGTGGAGGAGAAGCAGAGAGAGGAGGCGGAGAAGCTGAAGAGGAGGCAGAGACACAACAAGCTGCTGGCGCTGTCCCGGAGGATGAAGGCCCGGGTCCCGAGCCGGAGGAGGATCCGTCTCTCGCAGGTAGGCTACCTCCTGGACCTCCTTCACACCCAGGGTCTGACTGCAGTTCTGAGTAAAACTCGGTTCAGGTAAAATGTGCGCATAATAATGCTTGTCTATCCTGGGTCAGTTTTAACGTGCAGTGAGTGGGACTTGATACAGCTATCACAGGTTAACTAGGAAGAAGTATTCAGACCATGCTTTACTGGAGTAAAACTATAGATACATTACTGTCGAAATTACATTTCATTTTTTTCATACTTATTTACAACTAATAGTCCTTCATTCAAAGTGTTACTGAAGTTTAAGTACAAAAGTATTATCAGCAAAATGTACTTAAAGGTCACCTATCATGCAAAATGCACTTGTTTATGTCTTTTATACATAAATGTGTCCCCGGTGTGTCAGGAGACTCACAAAGTGTCAGGAAATACAACCCTCTCTCTTTTCCCCCTTACCCAAATCTAAAAAAATGGGGGTACAACGGAGCTGATCCAGATTTGCTGCGGTCATGACGACATTACTAAAAATGTGGGCTGGCTGTAGAGCAGGGGTGCCCACACTTTTTTGGCTGGTGAGCTACTTTTGAAATGACCAGCTCACCGAGGTCTACCAACCAAAAATAAAATACCAAATTGCAAGGGTTGCTGAATAACACGTTTTATTTATACATGGGATAACTACAATAGGGCTGCAACAAACGACTCATTTGATAATCGATTAATCTATCGATTAATGAAACGATTAATTGACTATTCGGACTATTACTGTATGCCTTGCACAATTTCTCAAACTCTCCTATTTAGCCATCAACTTTTAGATTTAGCTTGAGGTTGTTTTAGGCATGTGGAAACTAACAATGAAGACAATAAAGATGAATACTTGATTCAAAAATACATATATTATTAAATTAACTTAACAAATTGTGAACAAAACTAACATTGCTTTTTATTTAAATTAAATAAATAATATTTCACAACAAAAGAAACAACAATGTTTTAACAAATCGTATTAAATAATCTGATGACAGAATTGTAAACAGAATAGCTGAAACTTTAACAAAATAAATACCTCAGTTACCTCTAATCATTAATCCATGTTTGTATAATGTAGTTAGTGTGGTGCTGCTAGCATAACACCTGACGTGGAAACGTTACTCGTGGATGGAGCTCGTGTTACCACCCATACATGCTAAACTCTCTTGGCAAGGAGCATTGTCTACATCGAGACGGGTACCATTTAACCACACCTTGGAGCGCTTCTCTCCGCCATCCCAGCCGTGTGTTGCTGCATGTAGCAGCTGCTGTGTGTAAACTGCCCCGCCCCCTCGCACACAGACGGGGGAGAGATCTCGTCTGGATTGGAAAGGTAGAAAATACACCGACCATAGACGCATTTGTTTGTCTTTTTGCATGTTAGAAACGAGTTGGCGACATTAAGACTGCGAGATAATGTTTGTGTAGCAATAATACATGACCTTTCTCTTTCTCAACTCGCTACTCGGAGGGAAGTCGCTGTCATATGCCTTGTGAACACTCCGATAATGCCTCTCCACGTTACCTTTCTTTGGTAGAGCGACGCTTGCTTTACAAATAAGGCAAATAACCTTTGAATGTGACATCACAAACAAATATTCTTCCTCCCATTCTGGGTGGAAGTGGTATGTTTAGCTTCTTGCTCGGTCCCGCACTCATTTTGTTGTTTGTCTCTTGTTTGTCTCTTTAACTTAATTTGAGTTTTCCCGGCACTTGACTGATTTTGTATCGCTTTGCATTCTGGGTTAACAGACTGGAAAGCGATAGGTCGCTTTTTCTGTCAATCAAGTAAACTCCTGAATTAAGTGGCAGGGAGGCCAAGGGAGGAGGGATCAAAACCTGTTTTGTCTATTTTAACGGAGCCGGATTTTTTTTTATGAATGACTCGCGATCTACCAGCATTGCCCCCGCGGTCGACGTACTGGGCACCTCTGCTTTAGACCCACGGGACTATCAGAAACAATGAGCGACGTGTTTTGGAAGTAATATGAGGCATGCTACAATGGGTGATCTGTTTGGTATTTTGAGCAAAACACTTCAGAGACATGTTTTGTATAGATGTGGCCCTATAATATATTGCTCAAATATAGCATAATAGGTGAGCTTCAAAGTATAGAAAGTAAAAGTCATCATTGGGCAGAAAAAAATTGCCTTATATGTGAAGCATTTTATTGACTTTTTGTAAGATATTTAAATTATTATCATTTTCTAGTAACATTTTTAGAAATGCATTTTGTTAAAAGTAGTGCTTTTGACTACAATGAGAGTAGTTGCTTTTACTTTGAAAACATAATAGTGTCATCCTGAGCCTACTTTAAGGATATAGGTACTTTCTAGGGTTTCTATTTTTTTTCTTTATGTTTCTAACAAGCTTTTTGCTGAGGCACCTGTCAAGATACCGTTTTTATTTAGAAGTGTTGGGGGAAGTGGGTGGGGGAAAGTGAAATGTCCATAGAGAAGTTTTTTCTTTCTTAGGAGAACATTTGTGTGTGCACAATTATTGGGCAACTATTAGTGTGCACAATTATTATGCAACTAAAAGAAAAACGAAAATGTTCCCATCTCACCTGTTAAAGGGAGAATAATAAACAAACAACTCAAAATGTAGAAATAAACATTTCTAACATTAAACAAAAAAGACCAGATATCAATATAGCCACCCTTCTCTTCAGTCACGAGCCTTCCATTGATGGAGTCAGTTTCTGGATCTGTTGACGATTAACCACAGCCTCCCAGACTCTGTTCAGAGAGGAGTTTCCTTCACCGTAAATCTCCCATTTTTAGAAGGGCCCACATGTTCTCAATTAGGTTTAGGTCAGGTGAGGATAAGATAAGAAGAAGTGCTTTATTGATCCCAGTTTGAGAAATGTTTGCGTTGCAGTAGCATAAAAAGACATGGCATTGTACATTACAAATTGAAAGAAATAAACATTCCAACATGTAAACATCTCACTAGAAATAAAATAGCATTTAAAAAAAGGAAATATACATGTTGAATTACAAATGTACAGTAACAAAATATAAAGCAGGATATTACATATACATAGGTATTAAATATTAGATTGAATATAAATGTACAGTGTGATTTTAAGTCCAGTTGTCCAAGAGAATCTATGGAGCAGAGAGTTCTCTGCCAGCCAGAGGTGAGTTATCGTATAATGTTTTCCTGTACCTGTCTGTGACAGCGGAGCTGCAGCAGTCTGTAGAGAAGGGGCTCCTGTCTGTCCAGCTGCAGGTGGAGAGGATGGGTGGTGTTATCTGTCTGTCCAGCTAGGGGTGGAAAAAAGATAATATCACAATATTTTTCAAGCAGTATCACGATAGACGATATTTATCACGATATTTTTTCGTGTCGGTTATTATGGTTATTTTTCAAGTTACTTAACAGTACAACCACCTACAAGGTAACAACAACTCAAATAAAAAGGAGTAACAAAATACCATTTCAAGCTGGTTTTAATTCTGCAATGAATCCCTGAATGAACAATTCAACAGGAATTTTGATATGGCTTCCTCAGTGTTCAAGTAGGCAGTAGCGTGGGAAAAAAAGTAGGGGAAGCCAATAATACGTCCTTTCTTTTGGGTCGGGGGTGTGGTGGTCAATGTAATAACGTAACCAGATGAGTGATTAGAGCACCCGGTATCATTTTACACACATTTGTATCAGATGCAGGACTTACACACGCCTGTTATCTAACCGACAGGTCCGCACGCACTCTCCAGCCCAAACTCTAATAAGCATTCATTCACAAACTAAATCAGGAGACCTTTAACGTTTTACGTCCGATTCGCTCCTTTTTTCCTCGCTGTACACAGCTCTAGTTTGGGCATCGGCCTGTCATCAGATTGTATTTGTTGTTGCTGCTGAAGCGGAAGTTTAGTACAATTTATTTTTGATGAAATATTCTAAATCTCCACCCTCCATAATTGCACTTGCTTCAGTTGCTTGCTACTTTCTAACGGCGGTGAGAGTGATGCAGTGACGCTATCTATCTTCTATCGATTAGATTTATGATTCGAAAATTATAAAAGTAGGGTAGACATGTGGATAATATCCGACTGAACACAACGTGCATTTATCTAACAGGTTAGTTTTCCACTGACCTTATTTCGAGCTATTTTCCAAAATCCTATGGAGAAATCACATTGCTTTTTTGTCGAGGGAAACCGAGAGCAGCTTACTTCCGGATTTTAGGACGCGTCACTGCAACACTAAGTTGATGCGATTTGATTGGATTGTGAGGCAAGGGAAGCCAGCCGCCTCTGGCTTCCCTTGGCATGGCCCTGACCAATCACAGGTTGGCAGGGGCATCATGTGAGCCTCATCTGATTGGTCAATCCCTCCATTTTTTTCACCAAGGGAAGCCAGATTCGGCTGGCCTCCTCTCGCAACAGAGAGTGCAATCTACTGTTTCACCATAACATCTAGAGGGGCGCTGTTCGTTTCACTCTTTGTAAAATACTCAATGAGAATGGGGGAGAGACGGGCCGGCAGCAACACACAGCAAAGGAGAATTATCGAAACAAAACAGTGTTTTTATTTATTTATTTAAATTATAACTACAATCCAAAAAAACAGGCAAAGCCTGGCTTCCCTTGGCCTCCGGGAGAAAACGCCACTGCAAGTAGGTAGGCCTACACCCTACACAACAAACGTTAACACTGGTTTCTTCACCAAGTAAAGTGCACTCTCTTGCTAAATAAAATAAAAATATTCAAGGCACAGTTTCTCAGTATAAAAATGCACTTTCTGTTTTAGGTAGCACTAGCAGTGATGTAACATCAATAAACATGAAAAGGAGAGTAAAACATAACTAAGTAAAACATAAAACATCAATGAGGAAAAGTCAGTGCCAAACAATTAAAATGTAAACTTTAGACTTGAAGTGCAATCAAAGACTTTAACATAACTGAACATCTGTTTTAAAAGGGAAACACAATATAAATACCTTATTCATAAAATAAAATATAAGCCAACAGAATCAACCAAGACAATAAATGAAGTGCAATACTGTCTGAATCCTGACTAGACAGTAGACAGCTTGGTTTTTACT